GTAGGCTCTGGGTTCAGTCCCTAGAATCCCCCCTCCCCCCCACCCCGACAGACACCAGGAAAAAAAAAAAGAAAAAAGAAAAAAAAATGTGGTCTATGGTTTGCCACCTTCCTTTCTTCCCTCTGGCCGGTCAGAGATTTTGCAGATATGGAGACTTCCTCAGCCAAGCTTCCAGAGAACACAATAAGCAAAACTCCTTGGGCCTGTGATAAACTTGTGGAATGAATATAAAATAAGTCTTCTGTGGCTTTAGCCAGCGGGACCTTAATGCTGTCTGTTATGGCAACACAAGCCAGTGTATTCCAGCTGGTACTGACACTGTGTATTTCACATCAATTTTGTGTATTTTGTATCATCTTCTTATAGTAGAGCTCCAGTCAGGGAGTTACTGAATCTATGACTTTTTTACATTTGAAAGCAATTTGCTTCCCCAAATAAACCAGTGATCAAATTTGTCCTTGTTGATTGTCAATTTTATTTTAAAGAAAGTTTATTTCATAGCAAAAAAAAAAAAAAAATGACATGTCTTACTTTGCTCAAAATCATGTTGTTTTTTTCTTGCAGTATTCGAGAGACAGTTCTGGGGTGATCTATGTCATGCTGAATGGTTCTGAGCCCACAGGAGCCTATCCTGTCAAAGGGTAAGAACTACAGCACCAACAAGTACAGCACAGAATGCCAAAATGTTAGCTGTTTGGAGGTAAAGAGAATGGTCCTAGTCTCCAGTCTAGTGCATGCTCCTGCAAATTCAGGTAAAGCAAACAGGCCTGGTGATAGAATCTTGTCTATATAGTTAAGCCATTAATAGCTGATGAATGCATGAATAAGTAACCTAAAAATAAAAACTGAAAAATAAAGCTACTTAAATGTTAATGTATAGATCAACTAACAACTGAAATAGAAAAATATGTTATTGCCTTAGGACTTTAAGAAATGTCCTCCAGGGCTGGGAATGAAGCTCAATAGTAGAGCCGTGGCCTAGCACAAGCAAGGTCCTGGGATCCATCCCCAGCAGTGCAAAAGGAAAGGAGGAAGAAAGGAAGAAGGAGGGAGGGAGAGAAGGAGGAAGGGAGAGAATGAGGAAGGAAAGAAATGTTTTCCCTGTCTTTCAGTTTTTTTGCAGATTTTGAAATTCCATACTTACAGAAGGATAAGATCACACGAATCGAGATCTGGGTCATGCATGAGATTGGGGGAACCAATGTGTAAGTCATGGTGCTACTGATGGAGGCAGCTGTGCAGACATGCTTGTCTCGGATGTGATATGATCAGGTCCATTTACTTTTTCGGTTTTGGAGAAATGCCAGTCTTCTCTGTTTCTAGCATGGTCAATACAGAAAGACAGAGGCTTGACTCCTCGGAATGCCACTAGCCAGTCCTGAGTCCCCAGAGAAATCCTCTTTTATCCAGTAGACTTATGGTGTTCCTTTCTGAATGATTTGGGCAGCTTTGGATAGCCGAATTCCTTATGCATTTGTGAGAGTCAAAGCCAATTTCTCCTTCTGGTCATTTAAGCCCCAAAGCCTTTACTGGTTTTCAGCACCAAACCAGGGACTCCGAAGACTTTTTTCTCAGGGAGAAAACAACTCCACAATTGAATCCCAAATAACTGGGAAGGGAAGTTTTACGGTGCATATTGTTTTGGGAATCTACTTGAGTTTATATACAGATGCAAGCTTGAACTCGTATTTCTCACCAATGAAGGGCACTCCTGGCACAAAATAATATAAAACAGTTAAACCCATTAGGTTTAGACACTTGCCTGTGAAGCTATAGCCCATTTAAAGCAAGCAGCCATGATGGAGCTTCAGAAGCAAGCTGGGGCCTGGTTCTTCAGAGCTTTGATGGTACCTGGAGGAGAAAGTTGCCAGACTCAGGAGTAGGTGTGCCACTGGATGTGTGTTCCAAGAGAATCTCAGTAAATACCTGTTTTCATCCCATCTAAGACTCACCATAAATTGGGTGTTAATTTTTTCCCTATCTCTTGGGCAACAGATTGCAATAAATTTGAGACTACTTATGACATAAATTATGCTATATATCTCTTAGGAAGTATATTACAATAAATTTGCTAATTCCATATTACTTAAGTTTTACCAAGATCTGCATTTCCCTCCCAAAAGACAAATTCCACTCATTGTTTCCTGAAAAACATTATTGTTTTCCTTGTTTTCATAAGAAGTTGCTTCTTGTCTAGAAATTATGCTTGCTTCTGGTTTCAGTGTCTCCGTTAAGAGGAAGCTTGTCCTTTGAATTTACCTTTAGAGAGATTAGGAAACTGCAGTTCAGTGTCATGTCAGCTCATCATTTCTATTTCAGGAGATGTTCCAGAAAGGTCAGGATATATGGTTGGACATTTGAGTCACCAGGTAGAGGGTCATTCAAACTATGTAGGTCACTCCTACATAGTTCTGAGCACTATCCACGTAGGATTTTTTTTTCTTTGCTTATTACATTGTAGAGTTGTAGGTCACGAGCTAAGAAAGGGAGTCTTGGACTGTTTAGATTTTAAGGAAAACACATGAAGACTATAGTTAATAAAATTGTATTGTATTAGGTATTTTTGTTAAATAAATAGATTTTAACTATTTTTTGTCACAAAACAGTAACTATTTGAAATGTTAGATATACTAATCTGTTTCAGTATGGTGATAATTCCTCTCTCTCTCTCTCTCTCTCTCTCTCTTTATATATATATATATATATTATATATATATATATCACATTGTAATCCTCAAATATACACAATAAAATTTATTTTAAAACAAACAAGCAAAAACCCATATAGGCAAAGACCTACAAACGACATGATTAATACCTGATTGCATTTGGCATGGCTTTGGCAGTCTTTATTCAAAGGAACTGTAGAATGACCCTTGACTCTTCTTTGTGTCCAGGCACTCTGAAGCCTCCATGTCACTGCTTACTGGAAAATCCTGATAGCAAGCCTCGCCCAGAGAAGGGCATTGTCCTGACTTTGGCAAAGTTCTGGAGGCCCTTTGCCCTCTTCATTCCGCAGTGGCTGGAATTCCACACGGTGGCAACTTGTGCAGGAAGTTGCAACAGGAGGTTGCTCATTTCCTCCCTGCACTCTGCCTCTCTACTGATGTCATGGTGGGAGGCTATTTAACCTCCCATTCCTCACAACCCAGGCAGGGCTCTGCCTGCAATACGAACACCAGGCCTAAAAACCACATGGCAGGGTCGTGTCTGCCACTGAGGCCTTTATAAACCACCCCTGCTTCATTGTGACCATCAGGAGGGAAGAATCCCCACTGGTGAGAGAGTGGAAAAGCACTCCTGCTGCACTCTGCTGGGTGTGACCTGCCAGTGCCCGTGGGGAGCTGTAAAACAGATGCAAACCCTTGCTGCCAGAAAACCTAATTTTACACATTTACACTGAGGAAACAAATGAGGAAGAATGTATATGAAAAGGAAGTTTCAACAAGGTTTATTGTAGCATAAAAGGCATAAAAGGAATCAGTGTAGGTCTTCCAAAGAGGGAACTCAGTATATGAGTTATAGTCTGTAAGGGAGGCCATGCAAGGGTTAAACACATTGGTACATGTCTGTGTAAGGCACACACACACACACACACACACACACACACACACAGACATGAGCTAAAGCAGAACACAAAACATCATGGACAGCAGAGTGTCCTTGCTATGTTTGAAAAACCTTATGGAAATAAATGTATCTTAGAAGTCCATAACTATGATCCAAGACCCTAATTGGAGGCTTGAAACTGCAAATTGTACCAAATCCTATATGTACTGTTTTTTTCTGTACAAGTGTACCTATGATAAGGTGTAAATTTTAAATTTGTCACAATAAGAGATTAACAACAGTAACTAATAATAGAATGACAAAAATATAATAAAATGATATAAATGTGTCTCACTGTGCTTTACTCATGTCTACAAGATGAGATAAAAGGGAGTGAATGACAAGGCATTTGCCACTCCGTGTGGCTGTAACTTTTGCAGTGTGAGGTGTGACGGCAAAACTAGCATCTATTTCTTTTCCCTTCTTCACAATTTCATGGGTGGAAAGGAGGGTCACTCCTACATAGTTCTGAGCACTATCCACGTAGGATTTTTTTTTCTTTGCTTATTACATTGAGAACTTTCACCTTTTCCCTTGAAGGAAGCACTTCCCAGCTTCTCTCTGGTGTATTCAAAGACCCAGTGCTGGGTCTTCACAGCATCTTCTGCCGGGTGCTTTCCCATATTCCCTCTGAGAGAAAAATATCTGAGAGTACACAGTCAAAAGAAATTTTATTTACCTTAGGAACCACTTCTTCTTCCTCCTCCTATATTTATTTATTTTAAAATACATGTTCTTATGTTTTAGGGAATCCTGTGGAGAAGGCAGTGTGAAAATCCTGGAGGAGAGACTGCAGTCCATGGGCTTCCGGTCCAGCTGCCTTGACGACTACCTGTAGGTGGTCCTGTGTGTGAGACGTGCACTCTCAAAGGGGGGGTGGGCTGTGGAAAGGGTTCCAGGCATCACCTCCAAAGGCCCCCGGATTGTCTTGTGGGTTGCTTCTGGATGCAGGGGTGGGGAGCACCTTCTGGCCAGGGTTTTGTCTGAGTCCTTCCCACTTCTCAGAGTCCATTTGGATGATGGCTAAAGAATATACAGAGAAGAACTTTATCCTTTGCCCATGTCTGGTTTCCTTCTCACCTTGTTTACTGTGTGGTGAGGAACTGAAAAAGGATTGTGTGTCTGGGTCCCTGGGGGTTCTTGTCCACAATTGGTGCTAAGGCCCGAGTTGGTTAGAGATATTTACAGACAGATACTTCACCAGAGAGCAGTGGAGAAAAATAGCAGCTTCTATTTGTTGAGTAATTATGGGCCAGACTCTTTGTGTCATACTCAGGTGTCCCTTCCCGCTTCTTGGACATGGAGAGAAGCTCAGCTGAAGCCCTGGGGTGGTTGTAAGCCCCGCTCTCCTGGACTCAGATCCCCATCTCCATTGCTCTCCGCCTCAGCCTCTAAGGGAGCAGACACGCTGGCTCTTTGGGTCTGGCGTCCAACATTGTTAGGACTTGGTGGCTCTCTTGAACATTTATTAGTGTTTGCGTGTGGAAACTGTCATTGACCAGGGCTCCGAGGGGGTCCCCCAGAAGAGAGACCAGGACCTCAAGTTCTTTCTTTCTTTCTTTCTTTCTTTCTTTCTTTTCTTTTCTTTTTCTTTTTTTTTTTTTTGTGGTACCCAGAATTGAACCCAGGGGCTTAACCACTGAACCAATCCTCAGCCCTTTTTATTCTGAGACAGGGTACTGTTAAGTTGCTTAGGGACATGCTAAGTTGCTGAGGCTGTCTTTGAACTTGTGATCCTCCTCCATCAGCTCCTGAGTTGCTGGGGTTAAGGTATGTGCCACTGCACCTGGTCCCGGCAGGTTCTTGATGTACAGGGCAGAAAGAATTTCAGGACACATCCAAAAGAGGCACGAACAGAGATTTACTCAGGAAATCAAGGAGTGCACACTTAAAGGGACAGAGCGAGGGCTAACCTGAGAGTGAGTTGTGCTTTTGGGATCTCAGGCTCTTCTTCTAAAGGATATTTTGTAAATGGCAAATGTGAGAAACATGTGGGGGTGACATCAGCTTGATGGACTGGATTCTTCGCATCACAGAGCACAGGGCAGGCCATGGTGGTCTGGTTCTTTTTAGGATCTCTAGGTTAACATTATTTAGCTCATAGATAATACATGAAATGTCCCCATATCATGAGTTTAATAATAAGTTTATTAATAATCTCTCTAAGCTTCATTTAATTAGTCTAAAAAAGTGCATTGTGGAAGCTATCAAGGTACATAAGCACTAAGTAACTGGGCTCACAATGCTCTAGGATTTATGGGTCTTTCAAAAATTCAGAAGAAATTTGCCTGCAGAGCACAGGTGAGGATGTTTGAAGCCTTTGAGTTTAAAGTTACAGTTTCTTTTCCCTTCCTTGTTAGTCTCCTTTCTAGTTTTCCTTATTTCTTCCATCCTACCTCAAAATGACATCAGAAGTCTTCTTGTCTACTACCCACGATCAACCTGCCTCTTCTGCTTTCCCCAGAGCTCCACAGTCTGCATATTGATTCTTGCAGAGCAAAGCTCCTGGAAGTGAGGCCACTGGTTCCTCTTAAAGCTGTTCTGTTACCTGTATCATTTCTTCTATATTAGCATTAGTATTGCTAATGTTTCCAGGAAACTCCAAGGTCGGGCACCATTTTATCACCCCCTTTTAAAAAACAAAATAAAGCAAATACCCTTTTCTGGAAATATAACCTACATACAGGAAAAAGCACAAACATCATACAATCAGCACAAGAAGTAGGACCTAACCAGCATCCATCCAAAGTCCGCCCCCGCCTCCATTTTGGCTACTATCCTCTGCTTCCATAGATCTGTTTCCCACATTTGTAAATGCCACTCATTAGTTTTGTCTGTCTTTAAATTTTTGTAAATATTCTCTTTTGATAGATGAAATAAGGGGCCCAATGTCAACACTTAGGGATAGAACTGTGTATGGCCTGGAAGTGGATTCTTTCCCTCCTGCTACCATGCTCTTCTTTCTGAATCAAAGCCCTAGATTTTAATCCAAATGCATTGACATGCTCTTGTGGTCCCAGCACATGGGAGGCTGAGTCAGGATGATTGCTTGAGCCCATGAGTTGGAGACCAGCTGGACCATACAGTGAGACCCTGTCTCAAAACAAAACAACAACAACAACAAATAATTGCATAGAGTAGACTTAAATGAAAAGTAGGTAAATCCGAGGAAGGATTGCTTAGCTTAGCATGCCCTTGAGTGACAACATAGCTTTCCTGTACTTCTGAATCCTCTTCAGTCATTCTGCCCCCGAGATCCCATCTTGGCTTCCCTCTGATCTGATGCCCTGTGCACCGGCACCTGCTCCTGTCTCCAGGGCTGCTTTCTGTTCCCTCCTGCTCTGGAACGTCACATCTTCTCCCTCCACTATGCAGAGCAAATGAGCTTTCTCCATGGAAAGCCAAACACCAGTTCTTACCCATTGTTTGAAGTCAATCTTCTTCCCAAAGCACTGAGCAAGAGTTTTTTCCAAACACTAAGTACTGGGCTCTAAGTATGTGCATATAGACAGGGTTACAAGCTCAGGCTCTGGAGTCAGCCAGCAAGGTTCAAGTTCAGCTCTCTGATTCACTGCTGTGAGAACTTGGGCAAATCATTGTCATCCGCTTTCTCTAGTGTAAATTGGAGATGAAAATTGTCCCAACTCCATTTGCTTGTTATAGGATTAAGTGACACTATGTATATAAAACACACAATCAACTTTTCTTGATACATTGTAAGTGCTCAGTAAATGCTAGCTAATGTTTCAAAAAGGAACAGTTTGTATTTTTTTGAGGGCAAAGACTTTGTTATCTCCAGGTCTTCTCAGGCATATCATAAATGTTTGAAGAATGGACGTTATAAAGATAATTCCTTAAATCTTATTTTCTTTCTATAGACCAGTGAAGCTCTTAAAGTGCGTGGACCACAGTACTCACTCTGATTGTGCCTTAAATTCGTGAGTAGAAGACTAAACTCAAATTGCCTTTCTTTCTCAAATAACCTCTCCTTAGTATTATGGAACATGGGTGAATTGCAGCATGGTCTTAACCCACCCTAATCTGTGTGGCTGCAGGGTGAGGTCTATTCTTCTGCACCACATCTCACCTACTCTGTCTCTCTGGGCTGCCAGGCGGGTGCAGGTTTGATAGACATCTGCCAACCTGAGCCAGACTCCTCCCAGGAACTTCAAGCAGAGGTGGCTCTATGGCATCCTCTGCTGTGGCGGCACTTGCTTCTGCAGAAATTCTATTAGTGAGGAGGAGGGGAACCTTTTAACATTTATTTCTTAATCTTAATTTAACATTTTATTAAATTGAGACAAAATTCAAAATTATAAAAGGGTTGAGAAAGTCTCTTGGTTGCCCTATCCCAAGGTGCAGAAGAATAAACCTCCCTGCTTCTAGGGAGTGTGTCCTTTTAGAGTATCATGAGCTCATAACAACACACACACACACACACACAGTTCTTTTATACCAGTCATAATAAATTATAATATGCATAAGATTCTGGACCTTTTTTTCACTTGACAGTATATCCAGGAGCTGTTTCCACATTTTTTTTTTTTTTTTTTTGGTACTGCGGATTGAACTCAGGGGCATTCAACCACTGAGCCACATCCCCAGCCCTATTTTGTGTTTTATTTAGAGACAGGGTCTCATTGAGTTGCTTAGCGCCTCCTAGTTGCTGAGGCTGACTTTGAACTTGCAATTCTCCTTTCTTAGCCTCCCAAACTGTTGGGGTTATAGGCGTGCGACACCGCGCCAAGCATGTTTCCACATGTTTTTCAAAAGAAATTTTATTTTATATATTTGAGACTTGCCACATGATGTTATGGGAAATATATAGATAGAAAAATGGTAACTGCAGTGAAGCTGATGAATGTGCCTGTCGTCTCACCTAGTTACTTTTTTTGTGACAAGAGCAACTGAAATCTGCCTAACAAAAATCCATGATATGAAGCAGTTTTAATACTCACGAACGTCCTTTCCCGACACCTGCCGTGGCACCGGCTGTTTCATTCTTTCTTTCTTCATGTTGGCTCACTGCAGTCTTTTTTTGTTCCATTCGGTAACAAATATTTAATGCCTCCTGTGTGTCATGGTGCAAAGCCGTGTTGTCCCTAGAGACACTAAAGTACACTTAGGGAGAAGATGATGAACAGCACATAAATAAATTAAGTCAGTCTAAGTGCTAGTGCTGCTCAGGATATGAACGTGCTCAGAAATGGAGGCACTACTTCCACAGTGAGGATCAGGGAAGAACCTTTCAGAGAGAAGGAAGAGCAGAAACCAACACCCTCAGGCTAAGGACCAGGCCACTCAAGAGAGAACCCAGGGGATGGAGTCTTGTGAATGACACGCCCAGGCCCTGGGTTCAAGCAGCTCCTAACTGAGGAAGCTGTGGGGGACAGTAGGTTTTCAGCGTTGTTTATACTAGTCCAAATATGGAAACCACCCGAATGTCCACTGATAAAGAAAATATTCATATATAATGTATATTTTTCCATTGTGTACATGTATATAAATGTATGTGTGTATATTTACATTATATAAATTCAATGGAACATTATCCAGCCTTGGAAAAGGAGATTGTGGGGTTGAGGATGTAGTTCAGTTGGCAAAGGATTCTCTCTCATGACGAGGTCCTGGGTTCAATCCCCAGTGCCACATGTGCACACCCACACATGGAGATGTCGCCATTTGCCATAGCACGGAGGAACATTATGCCAAGTGAAATAAGCCAGAGGCAGAAAGAAAACTATCGCATGATCTCATCAATATGTGCAATATAATTTGAAAAGAAGGAATGGAGATGGAGCTGAGTTGAACCCAGCACACATGAGCCTTGGGTTCAATCCCAGGTACCTTAAAACAAAGCAAAACAAAAAAACCTCAGATACGCAGAGGAGATTTCCACATTTTTGATAAAGCTGCCTCAATCTTTTCACAGTTCCTCATCAGTGTTACCGGGCACAAGTGTGATTTTTTAACCTCGTTGCCCATAGGTGGACATTTAGATTGTTTTCACTTGTTACCCCTAGTCGACTGTGAATAAGAGGAAGTGCTGTTGGCCCATCTCGTCCCACAAATGCTCAAGGCTCAGGCCTGCGCTCACGTTAGCAGACGCAGATGTCAGCTTACTCATTGGCTTCTTTCTGATTTGATCTTATTTTTATTCATTTGACTTTGTTTTTTGTACAAAAAGCAGTCATGCCGTACGCGTTGTCCTGCTGGAGATTTCGTCACTTAACAGTGCCAGGGCGTCCTCCTTTCAGTGGGTTCAGACCAATCTTTCAGTGACTGCAGAATATTCTGCAGGATGGCCCTGCTTCCAGTCATTTAATCCTTCCCCAGCCATAGCCTGGCTTAGTTGTAGGTCTCTGTCGCAGTTGTTTTGTTATTATAAATAGTGCTGAGAAATCATCCTTGTTTGGCTGGTGTGGAAGTATTTGTGGAGGGCAATGATATGGTTTGGATAGGAGGTGTCCCCCAAAAAGCTTATGTGTGACATGAAACAATGCCAGAGTGTTCAGAGGTGACGTGATTAGATTGTGAGAACTCTAATCAGTCCATCCTAGTTTGAATGGACTGACTGGGGGGTAGCTGACTGTAGGCAGGTGGTTGTGGGTGGCTGGAGGAGTTGGGTCACTGGGGCCTGCCCTGGAAGCAGGCATCTGCCCTGTAGCCCCTTCCTCCCTCCTGTTCTCTGCTTCCTGACCCCACTATGAGCTGGCCCAAGCTGCTTTGGGCCCTTCCGCCTTGAAGCGCTGCCTCACCTCGGGCCCAGAGCAGAGGAGCTGGCCATCTGTGGACTGAGACCTCTGAAACCGTGAATGCCAAATAAGCTTTTCCTCCTTTAAGTTGTTCTTGTCATGTGCTTAGGTCACAGTGACAAGAACGCTGACTAAAACAGACAGATTATACCAGTGTTGGAGCTGATGGCTCAATGGATGTGTGTGCAGCATTTTACATTTTGACCTTTGGGGCCAAGTTTTGCTGTTCCAGAGAGGCTGCACACTTTGACTGACAGTATGTGGTGTGGCGTTCTGTCCCACTCTCACCAGCCCTGGCTGTCGTCTCTGTCTGCATCCCAATCTGTACCTATAGCTATGTGTAATTCTAGGCAGTGTTGTGGGTAAAATATGGGGCTTTATTGTCGTTGCTTGGTTCTGGTACCCAAAGTCTCTTCCCCTCCCTTCCTGTCTGGTAACATCACTCCTGTCCTTGAGGACCAAATCCAAATGCTCCCTCCCCTGCAAGGCTTTCCCGATTCTCCCCAGGGCTCTGCACACAGTGCAATTATAGTGCTTCCCTCTTCCCAGCTGTGTCACTCTGCCCGCAACAGCACCGAACACAGAGCAGAAGGAGGCTGGAGTCACTATCAATCCTGCAGTTACCGAGAAAGAAGCAAACATCTGTCTTCTTCAAGTGACTCCAATTGGGGTCATTTGACAAAACCCAAACCATCCATTTCCTCTTTGTGTGTCTTATAAAAGCCGCACATAGCAAGTGCTCCATAAAAACCTGGAGGACTCATCTTTCCACCTGCAAGGGCTGGACAACAGCTGTGGACCAGGCATCGATCCATGTGCACCACGTGGAATATCTTGCTCATACATGCAGTCCATTAGGGAGAAGGAAAGAGAGTGTACATTCATCATCCCCACATCTTTCTTCTTCCCTCCTTTGTTTAGTAACAAAATCCTTGAGTCTTGGCTGGTCTCATGGCCACCAAGGCTAATGAGTGTACATCCAGCCTCCTTCCAGCTGTGGCTGAGAGTAATGTGCAACCTCTGCCCAAGTCTCTTGAAGTCTCTTAGTCTCTCTCTCACATTCCCTTCTCGTCTCCCACTGGCTGGCATGTGGTCCCAGGAGATCTGGGCGTGAGCTATCTTCAACTGGGGAGGGCAGAACCTACAGCAGGAGAACGGGGTGTCTCTGTACCATGGAGTCCTGCATCAGCCCTGCTCAGATGCTGACAGAGAAATGAGCTGTGCTGTTGGGTGTTTGACAAGTGCCAAGCCTGTATCTGAACCAATGTGCTCATTAACTTCTAGCTCAGAGAAGTTGATGGAAGGCTCTCTCAAGTCCACCCAGCTAGTAAGGGCACAGCCAGGGTCTGAAGGAGACTGTGAGGGTATGAGAATTCACCTTGGCAGATGTTGTGCTCTTTGGACTGAAGCTGGGACAGCAGGCTCGTCCCCTCTGTCTGGTGTGCTAGCGCCTGACCTCTCAGGGTTCCGTGAGGGACTCCAGTCCTCTCCCCCTGGGAATTTGCATGCGGGATTTTGAGTTATAAGTCGTGGGAGGGAAGACTAGTTTATACACGGGGGCCTTCCCTGTTCTCACCTGGCTTTCCAGGTTCTTCCTATGTTTTCTCAAACACATCACTCACTGCCTCTCACGGGGAATTTCCATTTCAAGCCAGTTTTGAGCCACTTCCCTAACGACCTCATGAACCGTCCTGCCCACAAAGCCGTGAAGCAATCACCCTCCTGGCAGAGTAAGAGCTCTGCAGCTGGAGTCAGAGACCCGAGCTTGGCCCTACCTTTGAAGTGTCCAGGAGGCTAACCTGATCTCAGTATTTAAGTTGATAGCCTCTATTGTACTTCTCTGGTTCCTCAAGATCCCACATAGAGTCTGTGTTTCTCATATATATTTTTTTAAATCATCTTTCAACTGACTGATTTATGGAGTCGTATTTCCTGTCTCCCACTATTATTAGCTTGGAGAGGGTGGGAACTTGAACCTGTTTTGTTCACTGACGGATGAATCTGGAGAACGAAGAACAGAGCTTACAACCTGGCAGACACTTAGGAACGAGTGAGTGACTAACTGAATAAGTGAACCTCTGTGTCTGGTAGAGGCCCGGATTGGAGGTGAACACTATTCAAGGGTGCTGAGCAGTCCAAAGAGATGACAAATGTCCAAGGGCCTCAGAGAGTGTCTGTGGCAGCAGGTACAGATTTTATGTGCAAGAAAAAGAAACCATCTCTGCCTCGTTCAGTGGACAACAGGGGAATAAGGTTATTTCAAGGATTTAAGGGGATGGGCTTTCTAAAGGCCCTGGCACCTCAGGAAGGGTCACATTGTTTCTTAGGACTGTACAGTTTTGCTCCAGTGTCCGTAACCCCGTGTACATGTACAGATCACGGGAAAATCCTTGAAATACCTGTTGCACCTATATCGCTGCTCCTGGAACAAGCAAAGGGCACCACCCCTAGGCCCCCTGCTGCAGGAAGCTCAGTGAAGGAGGAAGCTCTTCTCGGAATTCCTAAGCACTTCGGAACAGGCAGGCTTCCCCGGAGCTCCCCTTTCATGCCAACGAGACTCCTGGGAGGTGGGCAGCATGAGCCCCATCCGTGATGCTAAGATTCAGGGAGTTGAAGGGATCACAGTCACTCAGGACCAGCCAAACCCAAGTGACACCAGGGTGGCTGTGCTCGAAGTCCCCTTCTCTCTACCACACCACACTGCTGCAAGCCTCCGGGTGCACACATGGCAGGCAGGCAGGGAGGGGACTGGAGTTCTTGACCTGTTCTTTCGCCTCTGTTTGGGCATTTCTTTCAGTGTTTGTTGGCAGATCTCTTTCTAACAGTTCTGCCCATTTTCTTCAAATGTGAAGAATGAAACCCTCTTTCGCTCTTTGCCAAGTTTTCTCCACTTTGGTTGCCTTAGCAGGAATCTTGCAAATTTCTTTTTTTGGAACATTTTAGCCATTGTAGATAGTTTATGAAACAGGAACCACAAGTAGCAAATGGACAAGATCACTTAATCACTCTAATAATAATGTAACCAAAAATAACAAGGTATAATTTCTACCTCAACTTCTTTGACATATCTTAAGAAAAAATAGCAAAAAACTTCTCAAAAACGTGTTATTTAATGCCCAAGAGCACCACGAGTTACTGGAGTGCTCTGGGAAAACAATTTGACAATGTGTGACCATAATTACGGAAATCCTCATGATCTCTGACCTATGTCAGACTCTTGGGTTGTTTTAGGTACCCTCTTCTAAAGAAAGGAGTGGATGAGTCAAGATGCAAGTAAAAATGTGGTCAGTTTAGGAACAAACTGTCTTTGGTATTTATTTTCAAAACTTTAGAGAATTTGACACAAAAGAAGAGCTGTTGGATTAGCCATGTGATCTTGATATATGTGTGACTACTAAGTCATTGATCTTAGACTTGAAATTTGTAGTTAAAAGTTATGAGACAGTTTTATTAATTTTTAAACCATTATTGTACTATTTAGAAGAAGTAAAATTAACTTTTATACATTTTTTAGGCTTACTAGAATCAAATATTTGAGAAGACTTTGCTTTTACAAAACATTTAAAATACTTAAAAAGAAAATGTGATATTTAAAAACTTAACTGTAAAATATTTTAATATAAAATAACTTGAGTTAAAAATATCCAAGGTAATTAACAAAATGTGAAGTGCCCTTAAAACCTGTCAGAGCTCAGTAGGCTTTTAAATAGAATGATACTATTCAAAAATTAAATAGAAGAGTATATGAGAAAACCAGCCCTTGAGATTTATAAATTTCATAGCAAAAATTAAGCTTCAAAACCAAAGTAACTACAAATAGCTCTACCCCCATGTACAGCCTCACATCAACAAGAATAGCTTGTTAAACTAAAATTTGACAAACTCACGCACAGAACATGAACACAGACTTATAAAGCAAAGGGAAACAAAACTATTTTTTTTCTACTTGTGGATAATAACCATAGAAAAGGTCTGAAAAGGCAAATCCATGCTGCTATTAGTAGTTAACTTTCTAACTCTGGTCACCCTTGGGAAGAGAGTGGGAATTGGAAAAAATTGACAGGAGCCTCTCATTATTACTGTGTTTAGTAATACTGCTCTAGTAAGTACTGTATTAGTATTTTATTTTCTAAAAAATAAAAATAAATGTATCCTTCTACTGATTATTAATTATTCGAAAGCAAAGATTACCAAGTATGGACAGGAACTGAATCGCAAGTTCAGAAGTGCAATTAGAGAAACTGTCCAGCAGGAGGAGCCCTTCACAACGTTGTGGGTGATATTTCCTCAGTAAAAAGAGGGTCAGGAATTTCCGCCCCCTTCAAGACTGGGTCTCTCTGAGTTAGGAATTTTAGAGGAGCCAGCCACTAGTCCAGAGTCATAAAACACATTTCAGAATGAACATTATGTGTTTTATAATTTAAGCAATTACCTTTTGACTGGTTTAAAATAATTCAGGAATTTGTTTTAAAACAACCTAGAGGTCAGACTCTTGTTTGTTATGAACAGGGTCTATATTTTGACCGGTCCCTCTGAATGCCTATATGTCAGGATGGGTTTTTCTTCATCGGTTAAAGTCTGGTGATGTAATGTCTATTAGTAAAGAACTTTGCAAATAGCGGGGTACCTCCACACCACGTGGATTCACACACAAGGGAAAATGAATTGAGTTCATGTGCACAGTATGGAAGGGTGTCCACCCTATGGCGTTAGGGTGTGTGTGTGTGTGTGTGTGTTTCACATTCCTGGAAGGACAACCCAAATTATCAAGGGCAATTTTCTCTGTAGAGTGGGAATAAAACGACTAAAGAAATTTTTACTTTCCATTTCATAACTTTCTGTACTGTCTAAAATTTTCTACAGAATTTATGAGTATTTTTGAAAGCATATGTCAAAACACAAAGACTGACTTTATTTCTTTTTCAATTTTCAGGGCAGCAGCATCTACTCAAAGAGAAGTCTCATCTCTTGATACAGAGCAGAGTGCCGGCTTTATCATTCCTCTCTTGGTGGCTTTAGCCTCAGGTTCTCAAATGTAACTGGAGACGGTGCTGTCCCAAGATCCCCAGGCCCCTCACTGCCCTTCTGTAGTTTCTGTCCCTGTTCTGCCTATGCTGAGCAATGAAGTGTCTGGATACTTCAGTCTAGGAAAGTCTACCAGCCTGAGAAGGCATTTCAAGGACACTTATGCTTAGTATTCCAGAAGCAATAATTAATCAAATCCTATTTAGCAGGCTAAATCCGCTACATTGGAATTAGAGCAAGTTATCATTTTGTTATTTTTATAATGGTATAAAACATTGAGACCTGAGCTGTTGTATAATCATATAGAATTAACATATTTAGAAAATTCCAATAGAATTGTATTTTATATTTTATGTGTTCCTATACTTCCAGCAGTGCATGTGTGTTGACAGCTTGAGATGTATGTATACTATGAAAACGTACACATCTACGCCTGATTTGCAAAGATTCATGTATGAAGATGTTTATTTAATGATTACTTATGTTAAAATAACAACCCGAAAGATCCAGTAATGTTTACATTTTTATTCAGCTGCTTAGGTCTGCTTATAGAAAATATCATGTGCCTATGGGAGGGAATATCATTGAACAAGTAAAAGTGTGTTCACCAGCCCAACTGCCCTTGCCCCGGTGAACGCATAGATTAACTGCTGTACATCTCCGCTGTGGGATACTGCTCAGCAACAAAGAGAAACAAGCTGCAGATGTGTGCAATGATGTCGATGAAACTCAAAGGATCATGCTAAGGGAAAGAAGCCAGACCCACAGGCTACGTGCTGAATGAGTCTATTTGTATATATTCCAGAATGGGCAAAGCTCTAGGAAGGGAGAGCGGATCCGTGTTGCCAGGGGTTGGGGCAGGAGGTGGCTCAGGGCTAGGGAGGGACTGAATAAAGGGGGCGGTGCAAAGCGAACACCCAGCTGTTGTGTCTCGACTGCGGTGGTTTGTTACATGAATCTTTGTATTTCTCAAAACTTTTAGAGTTGCATATCAAAAAAGAGTCCATCTCACTATACGTAGATGAAGAATGTCTCCAGAGGACATTTAATCACATAGGGAAATGTGAACAGTGAGGGCAAGAGTAGGATGTGAGACTTTATCATATGACCCACTTATCTAAAATATAATACAACTTTAACAAATGATGTCATGAGTATGTCTGTATGAGCCACACATACCGTGAATGAGTGGAAGGAAAGGAAAGAAATCAAAAGGCCGAGGAGAGAGAAGGCGTCTCTCTGATAGTGGTCTTATAAGGGACTCTATTTTTACTTCTGGATTTTTGCATTTCCAATTTTTTTCCAAAGAAAATTAATTACTTCTATAATCAGAAAGAGAAACACACACATACACAGTCCCCGTGTGTGTGCAGAAATTTGACCCATCGCATTTTCAGAGGAGACAAACAGCCCAACGCTTGCCACAGGTGTCTGCTCCCTGTCTGAAACAGATGGGTGTCACACATGTCCTCTCCCTGATTCTGATGCGCTGGGGGCAGCAGGGGACAGGGCCATTTGTTGCCCTCCTGGAGGGCCCTCTGGGCCCCTGTGGAGAGTGGGAGAGCTGCCCAGGCAGCTGGCCATGGTAGCGCCTCTCCCAACCCTGCGGGTCAGAGTGTGACCTGCCCTCCCAACCCCACCCTCCTCCTTCTGGTTAGACCCTCCAGCAGGGCCACTCCTCCACTTTTGTAGATGCTTGAGCAAACATTCATCATAAAACTGGGATGCTGTATGGTCCGATGCTCATTGCACAGAGCACATATTTACAATTCAGCCTTGAGACTACATGGAGCTTGACGATTGACCTGGGCAGGCCTGGTCTCTCTCTCTCTGCAAGCGATACAACAGCTTTCTAACTAGTGTCCTTGACCATCCACCCCCCCTCCTGATGACGCCTCATCTCTTGCCAACACCGCTCCCTCCAGGGGCCAACGCACAGAACCGGCCCATCCCCTGTGTCCAAGGCAGGGGATGTCCTTCTTCAGCAGGAACCGCCGGGTGCCAGGCCATTGCCGACAGTGGTCTGATATGTTTGTCTTCCTGGACTCATGCAGGCATTTCATCCTCTAAGTCTTGGATTAATATGTCCAGAGGGTGGAAGCTCCATCTGATATTGTATTTAGAGGTGGGGCCTTTGGGAAGTGATTAAAGTAGATTAGATCAGCTGGGTGGATCCCCCATGATTGAAGCCTGGTGGCTGTTTAAGGAGAGGAAGAGACAACACAGACACAAGGATGATACCTACACAGTCCCATTATGACAGGATGTACACCAGTGGGGTCCTCGCTGGAGTCTGCCCCCTGTTGTTTGGAGCTTGGGCTTCAAAGACTGTGAGCCAAAATAGATCTCTCTCTCTCTCTCTCTCTTTTTTTTGTATTACATAGCCTGCCTCAGTTGTTTTGTTACAGTAATACAAAAACAGACTACTATACCACCAGTTGCCTCTACCCTCATCACTATCATAATGACTGCAGCTGCCATTTATCCGGTTATGTGACATGCCTTCCACCTTTCATGCCCAGCATGCTCCCAGGCACTGGGTGGAACAGAGATTTTTGTTTTTTTTTCCTTCTACACAAGGACACTCTGGAGCCAGTGTGGTAGGACACAGTGGTCTGATATGTTTGTCTTCCTGGACTCATGCAGGCATTTCATCCTCTAAGTCTTGGATTAATATGTCCAGAGGGTGGAAGCTGGACATGGACATGGACAGGGCAGGAGATGGGAACCAGGTCAAGCTCAGGAGGTGAAGGAAACCCTGGGGAAGTGAGAGTAGAGAGGAATCAAGATCTGGCCCATGTAGACTGTTCGTCTGGTGCAGCCCCCAGTGTGTTCTCTGAATTTGGTGTCACCTCTTAGAGGATCCATGCCACCTGGGCACCATCCAGTGAAGCTGCAGAGCCATAACCTGGGTGTGGGGCCCCCTTCTCTCCTCCATGACTGCTCTGCCACCCACTTAGCAGACGTAAAGCCAGACCTTAGGCATCACCTCCTTAGTGCAGCCTTCTGTCACTCCCCCTGGGGGGGCCTTGGCTTTCTGCTCCCCTTGTCCTGGTCTGTCCCCAGGACTTGTCCCCCATGGTCCATCTCCATGGTCTCTCGTTGTTTGGGTCCTGGCCCGCACTCACCTGTGGCTTCTTTGGGCACTGGCCCGTCTTCGCAGCCCTGGCTTAGCCAGGCCTGGATGGAGTGGACCCTGCACACGGTGGGGACGCGGGACTGGGCTGTGAGTGAATCGAGCTTTGAGAAGAAAACGGAGGAGGTCAGGAATGGTCCATGAAAAGATTAAAATAACGATGCCTTTGTCTGTGTTTACACCGAATTTCAATAAAACTCTTGAAGAAAGTGGTGTCACTGTGTGGGCCAGGGAAGCAGAGGGACGATGGTGCCCAGGAGCTCACGACGCTCCCCAGGCTGATCCCATAGAGGCCCAGCCAAGGGCTGTCTCAGGCAGCCTTGGGGACGCCGTGTCCTCTGCCTTCCTGTTGCTTGGGTTACATGGCGACGACTTACAGTCACCCGCAGCACACTGACCTGCGACTTAATTAGGCGCTGCAATTTGGAGTTAGATGGAAAAGAAAATGCTCTTTCTTTCTTTCTTTTTAAATTGTTGAACTCAATACCTTTATTTAATTAATTTATTTAATGTGGTGCTGAGGATTGAACCCAGTGCCTCACAGGTGCTAGGCAAGCCCTCTGCCACTGAGCCCCAGCCCCAGCCCTTTTCTTTTTTCTTTTTTTTTCCCTATAGCTTTATTGAGGTAAAATTGAAGTACAATAAAATGCACATATTTGAAGTATGCAATCTGATGGATTTTGACACGTAGGCAACCAATACAATCAATACAGAAAGCATTTCCATTCCTTTTTAAAATTTGAATCATGCAGCCTGTGTTTCCTGGATGACTTGTTATGTACTTATTCTAGCCCTTTATGAGTTTGCAATTTCAGACATACCACTGCTCCTCCTCTGCTATTGCCCCTTCCATCTGGACTCCCTCAAGCCTGCAGTGGTCCCAAGTTAGGGTCCTGTCCATGCTCTTGCTCCAGATGATGAACGGCTCCCTCGTGTCACCAAGTGAAACCTATTTATTTATTATTTATTTGGCAGTGCTGGAGATCAAACCCAGGGCTCCGTGCATGGTTGGCAAGCTCCCCATCCCTGGGCCACAGCCCTCACGCAAAGTCATGTGTTTAAATCTAGTGCTCAAGACCTTTCCCTTTGTCCCCAAGCCACCTTCCCAGTCCCATGCCCAGGGACCCCTCCATGCTCCTAGGTGTCCTCTTTCAGTTTCCTGTTTTCAACATAAGTCTCCCGTCCACCTCCTCCTTGCCCACCTCCTCCTTGAAGCCTTGCTTTGTTCTAGTTTTCTAGATGTTTCTCTTGAGGACAGTGACCTGACCATTTGTTTTTGGATCTGTCACAGTGTTTTCCCCTGACCAGCCGTGACCCCACGAGCATTTGATGAATGAGGAAGTCATTACTGAATTTGCATTTAAAATTAAATGACTTAGGTGCCCTTCAATACATGAATGGATAAAGGGAATGTGATATACTTACACAATGAAGTATTACTCAGCTGTTAAGAATGACATTATGGCATTTGGTGGTAAATGGGCAGAATTGGAGGGGGTCATGCTAAGTGAAATCAGCCAGACCCAGAAAGTCAAAGGTCAAATGTTTTCTCTTGATACACAGAAACTAGTCCAAAATAAGGGGGAAGAAAGAAAGAAGAGAAAAGAAAAGAGGAGATTCCATCAAAATAGAAAAAAAATATTAGTGAAGTAGAGGAAGGGTATTGATGGGGAGGGAGAAGGGATGGGATAAGGGAAGAACTGTGGAATGCATCTGACCGAACTTTCCCGTGTGCATTTGTGAATATACCACGGTGAATCTCACCATCAAGTACATCCACGAGACACTAATTAAAAAAAAAACAAAAAACTGTAAATAAATAGCAGAAAGACCAGTAGAGCAGAGGGAAAGGAACTGGGGGAGGGAGGAGGGGAGGGAAAGAGAAAGTCCTGGGACTGAATAGAGCAAACTATTCCATGTTTTTATAGCATGTCAAAACGAATCCTATTGTTACGTATAACTACAAACAACCAATAAAAAAAATATTAAGCAAGTCCATCGGGCTTGGGGAACCAAGGAAAAGGTCCTGGGGGGCAGCCTAACATTGCAGCTAAGGGCATGGATTCTGGGGCCTCACAGTCTGGCCCACGCCTCCCCCTAGCCCCCGCAGGCTGTGTGGGCAAATCACTGACGTGTCTCAGCTGCTCTGTAAGGAGGGCTATAACTGTTCACAGTGAGATGACTTACTGTGCATGAAGAGCCGGGACCAGCGCCCCCGGCAGCACTGAGTGCGTGTCCCCACGGCCGGGTTGTCCGAGGCTGTCTAGACCCCACCTGCCAAGGCAGCACTGTCCTCAAGCCAGGAGCCACCATGCGGCGGACACTGCAAAGCGTTCTCACTCACCGTCCCTCCTTATCTTCACCCAGCCCCATGAAATTGGTCTGTGAGCACCCTATTTTACAGAGGAGAAAGCAGGGACTCGGGAAGGTCACTCCTCACCTGACCAAGGTCACCTCCCATGACTCCGGTTCCTCTCTGATCAGGGCAGGGGCCAGGCTAAGAAGGCCAGCCCTGTGCTTCATTACCAGCGGTCAGATCCCAGCACCAGCACCCTGCCCGGCACCGAGAGTGCTTAGTGCAGACCCCGGAGCACCACGGGAAACGCTGGTGGAGCAGGAGAGAACTGAGCTCTCGGCTTCCTTTTCCTGCTCTGGGCTTCAGGTTCCCACGGTGGCCACCTAAACTTGGCTGTTTTCTCTCTAGCACATCAGACTTGAGAATGAGGGACTTTCAGAGCCTGAAGGAGAAGCTGTGGGAACCATGATGGTGAAGATACTGAAAAAAGGCAAAACTGTCCTCAACTCCCGCAAAAAAGAGGCCCAAATCCCCAGGGGCTCTGGTAGGAGGTGACTCAACTGCAAGCCTGCCTGCCCTGGTTCAGTCCATATTCATGCCCTAAAAACAAAATTGGAGATAATGGGACAAGATAGAAGCCCCAATTTTTAGGGCAATAACATATTCTGTGTGATAGCAAGACAGCAGATAAATTGAATTCCATATTCATCC